AACCTATTGCAATAAAACGGCAATTTCATACTTTAACCCCTAATACTTTGAGTATTATTTACAAACTTGTGACAAAAGTCAAAAAACATTTGTGTACTTCGAAAATAACAAAAAAAGCAAAATATTATTTTATAACGAAAGACAAAAAAAATTTCACGGTGAACACCAATCCACATTGCTACGAAGTTTGACTCCGGTGTTGTGTGTACAAAAACTCGCGTGTAGTACTGTACTACTGTACCGTCGTTTGAGTAAAAAAATTACATTAGGATCATGGAAAAATGAGTGTATGAAAAGTGAAGTAATTGTTACAAACGAAAAATTTAATAATAATGTATTTCCTTGTAAAAAAAGATCCCAAAACTTTGCTTGTCCGCTTACGCTGTGTTTGTTGCTGCGGCCTCCTCAACAACGTTTGAAACGCAGATGGAAGTCTCGTTGTAACGAAACATATGAACCCAAACACGAAGTAGCTGATGTACAGGTCGTTGTCATTTGTATGCCATTTTCGTGATCAGGTCACCATAACATTTAATTTTTGTTGGAATTACATCTAAGTATGTATCAAGTTCTATTAACATCGATTAACGGTAAGTTGGTGAATATTTAAGAAATCGGATTTATCTTTTAACCGCTCACTCGATACATGCATCCGTAGACGCATACCACACCTGGAGGTGCCGGTGATGATTTTATACCGATTTATCGGATATCGAACTTATAACAGGTAAAAGAACTAATATTAATTGCTATTTCGGTAACTACTCTAGCAAACCATAAAGTTTTTAATGCCTGGGTCTGTTAAAAAAATAAACAATTTCAAAAATACGTCACGACAATCGTGTGTGTTATTGTTTGGGCTGGTGATTTCGGTGTTTATTTATTGAAAACATACTGTAAGTAGCATTATTTAAGTTTACCCTGAATATAAATGCTTATAAACTATACTTTAAGGAGTAATTTCATGGTAAACGTTAGAACCACTCAAACGGAATATTATCATATTTATCCAAGTACACCAAAAATTTCATTAGTGCTTTTTAAGTGCAGGATTTGCTGCATTTTATTTGAGATGTTTTTATTGGTAGTACGGAGGGTATTTATTTAGTAATGCAGAATAATAATTTTTATTTATAAAAACTTGTATTTAAACTGAATGCTCATCTAATTTGCGAAACCAAATAGCCGCCATTTTGCGGTAGGAGGACCGCATCGCGTGAGTGGCTAACTTGCCTAACCTTTAGAAGTGATAAATATTTTCTTGTAATTTGAATGGGACCGCTACAGGGGTTCCTCCTTTAAAACAAAAAAAAAAATATCAAAATCGGTTTATAAATGTCGGATTGATGGCGTAACATGCACACTAAAAATGCAGTGGAATTGAGAACCTCCTCCTTCTTTAAACCGGTTAAAAGGATTACATTAACTACCTAACCCTAAAAGATACTAGAATCGCAGATATACAGGTTGTCATAGAATCTCAGTATTTAGTGAATATGGTTCCATTGGCAAACATTCGCCATTCGACCTGTTCCAATTTATTATTTGAGTGATATTATATCGAAATAGATATTAATAATATTGATAAAACACAAAATTGCACGGATTTAGCGTATGTTATTACAAAATTATTAGCAATGTTATATATCACCTTCTAAGTGGAAAAGTGTAATTAATTTTATTACTTCTAAACACATTCAATATTAATTAACGTAAAACCTTTCCAGGTTACTACCGTGTTAACTACGATATGGAACATTGGGACAGAATCATCTCTGCATTAGACGACCCTGACAGGAGGCAGGAAATTCATCCCCTAAATCGTGCTTCAGTGAGTTTTATTGTAATTGGTTGACTACTTTTAATTAATACTCCACATCTTTAATGTATTAGGTATCCTGAATGTCTTTCAGTTGATAGACGACGCTCTTAACCTAGCGAGGGCTGGTAAAGTAGAATACGATGTCGCTTTAAGATTAGCACTAACTTGGGCGCACGAAACGGAGTATGGACCATGGAAAGCCTTCGTCAGGAACATGGAATTTCTAAAAAAAATGCTGCTTAGCGCCGTCACTGACAATGGAGAACTTGATTCCAATATTTACAAGGTATATTAGGAGTAAACAATAGGCATTGTTTACTCGAATTTATTATCATAGTTGATTTGTAACGTTTAGATTAAGTTGGTTTTGACGTAGTTCATATTTTCAGCCAAAGCAACAAAATGTTCGCTCATTTGTCATTTTTATCTTTTTTTTTATAATACCAAGTGACGGGACGAATAAGTCGTGCTCCTGGTGGTACGCGACACGCCTATCCATAACAGATGCTGTGCCATTCAGAGCTTTAAATGGCAAAGATCTTATGGGCACTGTCACTGCGCCCGTCACTCTGAGACATAAGTTGACAAGTGTCATGTACTTGTAATTTCACCACAGCACCCTTACTTTTCTAAACCGGAACGCAGTAATGCTCACATAAGGTGGCAGTATTTCCCTGAACGAACTCTTTCACAAGGAGCTTTATGCTACTAAAAATCTTTTAATCTTTTACCATGTTTATTATTTTCAAACAAAACTGTTATTTTCTTCTCAGCGTATGGTTCGGAGAACAATCGGAACTTTTGAGGATGATGTGTCATTTCGTCCAAATCCATCAATTAGAGAACCAGCTATGACATCGTTGACTCGCGGTATTGTCATGGATCATGCTTGTCGTTCTAACTACGATCCTTGTATAGCTGCTGCGATTGATTGGTTTTATAATACAAATAGCGATGAACCAGCAGTGTAAGTTGCAAATATTTTGTATTTCTTCATTTTACAATTTCCTTATAATTTTATTGTATGTAGCGTATTGGACATACGCTGTTGGAAACAGTATTAATGTTGTAGGTATCTTGTTAATAATTTTTAAACGTAATTATAAACTAATACTGCTTTTTCTTTTTTGAAATTTTTATTTTACTCCTTACGAATTGGTAAATTTTAATTGAATTGGTGTTGGAAGTATTGTAATAAATTCTTATTATTGTGATTTAATACCTTGCTTAGACGGTAATTATACTGAAATAAAACTATTATATATTGTAAAAGAAATATAAAATTTCTGCATATATTGACCATGTATCCAACAGGAATCCCAACATCCCCGTCGATATCCAACCAGCAGTTTTCTGTACTATGGTACGAGAAGCTGGAGCCGAGGCAACAAATTTGCTTTACGCTTATTTGGAGACTGGCATTAGTCACTATGACCGCCTTGTCGTATTGGAGTCACTGGCCTGTTCCCATGACGAAGTATTTATCAATAAGTAAGTTCCATACCAATATATTTTTTTTTAGACATTTGAAGCCAATCACCAAAAAATTGTTGTGAACACCGAAACAATCAATTGTATATTTTGGTGTAAAAAAATTTAAGGTGGAGTAGAAATCTAGAAATAAAATATGTATTTAATAGAGTCCTTATAAAGACAATCTCAAACCTAACCTAGAGCTGTTACATGTCGATTCTAAAACAGTATGATGATATTCTATTGATAGCTTTAACATCGACTTTAATCACTTCACTTGAGAGTCATTTGTTGTGACTTAATAGGTTTTAAGTACTTCTAATAATAAGCTCATCTCACAAATATAGCACACTCTCTAGAAAACATCAGGCAAATATCTAATTTTATAGAATCTCAGTAAAACACAGCCCGAATCCAAACATATTCTCAAGATACAAGTCACAAGATTTTAGATTGGTATTTTTATTGCATTTTCGTACATTTATTTGTTTATTATGATTTTGTAATTTGACAAGACCTGACGATGCCATTGTCACAATATTATTTTACTTTTTATTTCGCTCAATATGCTTTTGTAGCAAAAACGTTAGTAGGTTTGGAAACCTATTGTATAAAAATGTTCATAATTCAATAATTCTCTACTATTTCTAAATAAAAATGTATATTTTGTTGCCGTCATTCCTTCAGTAACTCTTTATATTCCTGAGCTTCCACCGCACCATTCCGTTACACTCTGCATATTATGACAAAAACTAATATTCTGAAATTTCTAACTTGTGTTCCAACTATGTCTAGGTTAATGATGGACACTATATCAGAAGATGGTCCTTTTGGTTCAGAAGAGCGGTCAATAATCCTTGCTGCTATAATCAGAAGCCGTTTCGAGAATGTGTTTCATGTCATAGACTTTATGAGGTCTAATACAAATAATATCAGAGTTATGTAAGTAAACTAATGATTTATTTTTCTTTGATTCCTTTGTTTTCTTGGAATTCTTAGCCATGGGGAGAATTGAAATTTGAATTCATATTATAGGTACGGCGGACCACAAAAATTAGAAGAGCTACTATTTGTTTTGTCTGATAATATCGTAAATGACCGCTTAGAGTCTAATGTAAGTAAAACAAATTATTTATATTTTATTTTTAGTAGCAGAGGCTTTTCGTGAAAGAGTTCCTCCAGGGAAGTACTGCCACCTTACCTATTAGCGCTTCCAACCAAAAAAGTAATGTGAGCATTACTGCGTTCCGGTTTTGAAGGGTAAGGGTGCTGGTGTAGTCACATGGGACTTGTCAACTTATGTCTCAAGATGCCGTGAGCAATCGTAGTGCCCCAGATATTTGCGATTTAAAACTCAGAGTGGCACTGCAACTGCTATGAACAGGCGTGTGGTTTACTACCACGCGCACGACTTATCATAAAAAAATCTTGATAAAAAGACATGTTGGAGTAACAAAAACTGGTTTTCAAGTAAGGTCCCATTGATTGCGACGTATGATTAGAAAACGGGTTTTAATTTCGTAAATTGAAATGTTTATGCTTGCAGTTCCGTGTATGGGTTAGATCAAACATAAATGATCTTGATGACTCTGAGGTGATCGCAATTCGTGCTTTGAGTAATGCGGAGATCAATCTAGAATGGAGACAAAGATCCGTCGACGAAGTTTACACGTGGATCGATAATAATGACGCTCACACATTTAGCGTTTCTTTTACCCTGCTCTTCTTCACTGCTTTTATTTGTCGTTTTAACTTATCGTGTTCTTAAAATTCGTTTTAATAAAATTGGGGAGGTCATTGGGTCTAGTTTACTTATTTTATATATAACATTTGTATGTACTGTAAACTTAAATAGTAAATGTTTTACTAAAAAGTTTTAATAATTGTTTAATCAGCAGCAAACTACCAAATTAAATAACCTACTATGATGGTTTTGGCAGAGTTGAGTAAAATTACTAAATAGTAAAGTGCAATTATACCAACAAGTTTTTTTTAAATACGCTAATATAGAATCTACCTCTTTGTCTTCTTTTTAACCTCTGTCCACGCAATGCTGAGTGTAGGTCTCTTCCAAGGCACTCCATTCCTTCCGATCTTGTGCCTCCCTCTCTATCTAATTCACTTTTACAAGGTCGTCAGTTCAGTGCATTGGCTGCTTACCTATGCTTCTGTGAGGTACAGGAGCATAGGTAAGCAGTACTCTCCACTGACGAACCTTTCTATGCCATCTGTGGTCTTGTCTACGGCATATATGGCCTGCTTATTTCCACTTTCTGCTTGCTAGTAACTTGGCCATGTCGATAAAACTAGTTCTTCTCTGAATATCTGTTTTCCGACATAGATCTCGAAGAGAGATACCCAAGATAGCCCGTTCCATAGCTCTTTTGATAACCTGTAGCTTTTGCACTATCTGTCTTGTTACCGTCCATGACTCAGCTCCGTAGATCATGACTGGGACGACGCATTGCTCAAATATCCGACGGATGAGGCCAGGCATTCCAGCCTAGACTGATGCGGCGCTTAGTCTCGCTTTCTTGCCCGAATTTATTAAGGTTGCATATATAGGCGGTATTATTGATATTGATAATTATTACTTTAACAAACATTTTAACGAGTAATATGGTCATAAACTACCCATTATCTTGTGATAATGTTTGTGGTTTCAGTTTTATGGATTCTATTGTTTGATGTTATTTTTGCACAAACTGATGAAGAAGTTGATCACATTTTGTTATTTATGTAATAAAATGGATTGATTGTTGCCTATTTCAGTTAAATAAATATTTTTTATTTTTATATTATTAATACCGTCACCTAAAATACTTTTTGTTCAAATTTTGTTATAATTACATAGGTTTATGGTTTGTAGACTTTGTGTTACCTTTTCACTATTTTCATGAATTATTAAATAATTAATGAAAATACGTATTGTAATTTTAGGTTATAATTACTTTCATAGAACACTCATTCAAATTCTATGAAATCATGTGCTCTGAGATCTGAACCAAATGCGTCCTCTTGATTCAGATTTTGTATCAAATAATAAATAATACGGTTATTTTTAATATTAAAAAAGTTAAGATACATTTATAATTGTATGGATTAGATTAAATATTAATTAATTTAAATAAATCGCGTGAAGTAAGTACATTTTACACATAATATGCTGCCTCCGTGGCCGTACGGTTACCATGCCAGATTGCCACGCAGAGGTCCCGGGTTTATTTCCCGTGTCGGGAGAAATATTTGTATAGCCTACATTTATTTCTCTCGTGAGTTGGGTGTAATTTGTGGTTGTCAGTGTGCATGGCAGCCGCGATACAGGGTTTCCCTAGTGCGGGGCTATGAGTGTGTGCGCGTTATTATTATTATTATTTTGATTAACAATAAACTTTAACATGTTATAAATTATAATAAAAATATACTTATAACAATAAACTATTGGAAAAACGGTTATAAAAAAATAATAAACTCAAGTATTTTATAGGTTTTACTAATACTGTGTTTGAACCAAACTGCACAAAGTAACGTTTTATATACTAATTTATAACAAAAATAAGTAATAAGTTCTTTATATAATACTAATGTAAAATACATTTTTGTTACAATTTTGTTTAAATATGTTTATGCTAGATTTTGTATTGTATTTTCGCTTATTTTAAAATCGTTAGTTCCCATAATAATGAAAACCCAAACAAAGGAAAACATTTGCTATATCAGAACGAAATGAATTTTGTGTAAGCAGCAGCTCACATTTTGTTTACATTTAAGTAAACATTTTTGTCACTATATTAAAATACTACATGCCTACTCATTGAACGACTGGTTTATTCTGTCCTTTCAAAAAACTGATTGATAACAACACTTCCAGCGGTTGTTGGCATTAATATTATCATATTAAACAATTTTTATTAAGTAGTGATGTTGGAAATAATAAAGTACAATCAGCAACATCTAAAAGAAAATTGATGTTTTCAACAAATACGGTTGATATTGATAAATCCGACTACACAACAACAAATAGTGCCTGTGAATATTAGCCGAATAGAACAACAAATATGAAGTCGTGAAAACACCTTGAATGCCCCATAAGGTGAAAATTGTAATGTTTTATAAGTAATGGAAATTACTTATAAAAATGTTAAGTCAGTTTATAATCTATATGGTCATGAAATACGAAGGAGTGATCCATGAGTTGTTCGTAAATTGGACGTTCGTACGTCATTGTACGCACTAAAAAAATGAAAATTATAGGTTATATCAGTTATGCGATCAACATGACCATAAAATGCGAAGGAGCGCAAACTCCTACAGTTCCTCTTAGACAGGAGCTATGCTTGTTTATGAAAATTGACAATGTTTGAATTCCAATTGTCTCAAGGTTTAATCCTATATATCGATAACTATGTACTACGGCGGCCTACCTCAAAAGCTAGTGATATGCCAGGTCAGATAGTGTGTGCTACGCAAAGTTAACGAATACCACCCCAATGTTGTCAATAATCTCTTATTATACCCATCGAAACCTGAAGTCTAACTCACAACAAAATTTTACCTTTTCTGAATAAATGTTAGAAAAAAAGATCAGTTTCAAGTTGAACCGCTATTCTTGAAAAGCAGCGATATGCAGGTAAGCATACCTGTTCTGTTCTGTCGTGGTCAAACTGGTTGATCAAATCGTAGGGCTCACGTGATGATACCTTCAAGTATTTTAATCCACATAATCATTTCATATGGGTGCGAATTGATATGTAATAATATACCCAAATAAGAACTGGTAATTACTTTACAAGTGCCTAGGTATCAATAATCGCTAAAGTGGCAATTATTGTCGTATATTTAATTTCATTTACACCTTGCATCAATAAATAAAGTGATTAGTGGATATTTCACATTGAAAAAAAAAAGTTGTGTGTATGGTGTTGGATTTATTAATCCAAACGGAAAATATTGCTCTTATGTATCCCAAGGAATAGTTACAGGTATTATTTATGTGGTAAGGTGGTCTAGCGCAATTTTGCAATATAATACAATAAACACCACTCAAGTGGCTCGAAGAAGAATAACCGGAACAGTCTAAATAAATACGTTTACACAAGTAACTTACATTTACTACTTATCTATAACTTCACGCAAGCTGGCTTTATTATAATTGACATTATAATAAAGGGTAACTATAATTAATTATTTATTCATTCAATAGTTATTTTTATAACAAGAATGCATTACTTGTTTATGTAATGTGAACGTAAATATGAGTTTGTATTACATGATAGACAAATATCTTTTGTCGTGGACAATCGATGATAATAATACTGTTTATTAGTTTGCTGTATGCACCTGACCAGAACAATTTTCGGAACAATTTTGAATGTACGTCATAATCTACTACAATAAATGCCTTGTACTTATATTTGGTCATTATAGTAATAACAAAGTTATTTTGCACTTACGTATAAGCAAGCATTTTAGGCAATAATACCGATCGCGATTTTATCGGAAGCCGCAATACAGTGTCGATATGGCTGTCATAAAAAAAAGGGAACCATGTTGCGGGGTGGAATAAACATGTACGGGAGGCGCATGTACAGGCCAAGCTAGCTTTTGAAATTTGGTTATCATATAATAGGCCAGCCTCGGGTCACATATATGAAACTATGTGCCTGAGCCGTAAAGTATTCAAGGGCAAACTGAAATGGTGCCAAAAACACCAAGAACAGATCAGGCTTGACATAATTGCCTCACATTGTGAATCGAAAAATTTTTCGAAGTTCTGGAAAGCCACAAGGAAGCTAGATGTCAGGCCTGGGCTGCCTGCAAGCGTAGAGGGAACGAGTGACCCGGTATGTATTGCAAATATATTTGTTGATCATTTTAAAGTAAAGTCTCCACTGGGTTTTGCACAGCAAGTGTTAGATTCGGGGGCTTGTCGTGACTCCGACTTGGTGCGTTTTACCGCTAAACAGGTAAAAAGTGCAATAATTAAGATGTCGCGTGGAAAATCCCGGGTCACGACGGGCTCAGTATCGAGTACTTGCAACATGCAGGCGTCCATCTACCTAGAGTGCTTTCTATGTTCTTTTCTATGTGCATGAGACATTCTTATCTGCCCCCTGATATAATGAAAACAATTGTAGTACCAATTCCTAAGGATAAGTCTGGCGATGTGTCTGATAAGTGTAATTATCGGCCCATTTCACTAGCAACAATACTCGCGAAGGTTCTGGACAGCCTCTTGGATGCTCAATTGGGGAATATATTGCAGCTGCACTATGCCCAGTTTGGATTCAGACCAGGTCTATCAAGTGAGAGCGCTGTCTTGAGCCTTCGGTCCAGTACTACACTGAGCGTCGAACGCCTATTTATGCTTGTTTTCTAGATTTATCTAAGGCGTTCGACCTCGTATCGTACGATGTACTCTGGGCCAAACTGCGCGAGCAGAATGTACCGGCGGAGCTGCTTCGTATGTTCCAATATTGGTACCTCCATCAGGTAAACAGTGTGAAGTGGGCCGATAAGCTCTCGGACTCTTATAGGTTGGAGTGCGGGGTGAGGCAGGGTGGAATATCGTCACCGAAGCTCTTCAATCTGTACGTGAATGATCTGATCGTTGGGCTCAGCAGTAAGCATATCGGATGTAGAGTACATGACATTAGTGTCAATAACATTAGTTACGCGGATGATATGGTCCTGCTGAGCCCAACGATCAGAGCACTTGAGGTACTCCTACATATGTGCGAAGAGTATGTGAAGTCACACGGCTTGACGTATAATGTAAAAAAGAGTGTGATAATGGTCTTTGGGGCCGCCGGGGGCAAATTACCGAGCTATGTTCCACCCATTAAGATAAGCAATATAGAACTCGAGCGGGTCTATCAATACAAGTAGCTTGGCCATTTTGTCTCCGACGACCTTAAGGACCTCATGGATATTGAGAGGGAACGCAGGGCGCTGGCGGTCAGGTGTAATGTGGTGGTGCGAAGGTTTGCGCGTTGCAGTGAACAAGTAAAGATTCTACTTTTTAAATCATACTGCCAAGTTTTTTACACGTGCAGCCTTTGGACCAACTATACGCACAGAGCCATCAGCGCCCTGCGAGTACAATATAACAATGGTTTTCGTATGTTGTTGGGGCTCGCACTGATGACTTTTATGCCATTACGCGCAAAAAGTCGGCCTTACTGCTCTGCAGATTGCGAGCCAGCTCCAACCCAATACTGAAAACCATTGCCAGGAGAATTGACTCTACCTTTATGCTTAACTTAACTTAACTTTTTTCGCCTCGTTTTTAATTGCTTTCAAATGTTCATGTTTTTTATTTTAATTTTAATTTAATAATGTTTAGATTTAGTGCCTATTAACATAATTTTTAAGAATAAAATTGTTACTAACACATGTGGACTAAATAGTTGTCTGAAATAAATGTATTATTATTATTATTAAAATTTTTATTACACTTTTTTATTCAAATAAACGTATTACGTATTTAAAATTTAACCCTAATTCTAAAGTACAATTTGAATAAAATGAGTTAATACATCGCTAAAATTTAAATTTATATATTTATTTGTTTGCAAATTTTTCAGCTTTTAAATTTGGTTTACAATTCTGAATAATGTACTTACATAGCCAATTGCAATGTTTGTCAGATTAAAATTTATTTTTTTACGTTATATAAAAACTAATTCGATGCCAGAATGAAGCGACTTAAAATATTGTTTATCAAAGAATAATGTAACAAATTAAAATATATGTTGATAATATATTAT